GTTTAGCGTAGTTTAATGTATTATAAATTGATGGACCATTGTTGTGTACACTCGATACTGATGTACCTACGGTTTAATATATGAATGAGCTTTAACTAACCTCTAGATATTTAATATTTAGACAAATTATATTTAAAACTTTTTCTATAATAATCAATTTTTAATAAATTGGTTTTAATATTATATATATTATTTAATGTATGTTTGCGTGTGTCTAGATGCTGTGGGGTGTTGATTATAGTCGGTGATAAAGTGCACGGCTGCCAACATGATTATAACAACGCAACATTTAAACTATTTGTAATGTTGGCACTAAACTTTAACAATCATTAGTATATATTGTTCTCGAATGTTCTTTATCTATTTTTTTATATCCCTTTAACACAAAACTCACATACAAGTGGCCTCAGTGTGTAAGTATTATTATAAGTGGTGTTCACTGTCTGTTAAGTTGTCGGCACGCGTCATAAACTGCGTGCTGGTGTTACCTGCGCGTGCGCAGCGCGTTCCTCGCACGTGGGCTCAGCCGCGCGCGTCGACTTACAAGGAACACGTCGCCTTGTATATGTTAAAAGGATTCCGCTGTTATGTGTGTCCGTGTGGAAATTACTAGAATTAATGTTTCATACAAAAAACAAACATAATACACTATAGTCTATTATAATATATGGTATCTGAATTAATTTTTTTTGAATAAACACTTAATACTAAGTTTTTGTATTTTTGTAAACGTCACTCAAGTATTGTATGCACAAAGTCGCTGCCGTGTGATCTAAGTACAATGTCATACATCAAAACTATCCGTTTACGTAAATACGGTGCTTGTACGTCATTTTATTATCTGTGGTGCGTTTGTGGTTCACCCCTCCCGACTAGCATTCAGGACGGATGATTGATCTACAGCAGATTGACAGGTTTTTTTATACAGCATCAGCACCAGCGAATATTAAAGGCAATTGTTGTTTAATTTTTACATTACGGAGGGTTATGAGTTTCGACTTTCGAGTGCTGTATTTAATACTGTTTTGATAATGGCTGTGTAAGTTCGGATCTTGTTTCTTATTCAGGACGCGTGGGATTCGGTCGGCGCGTTCTAAATTTGAATTTTTAATGTCTAGTCAGCTACATATTACACCTTGCTTATTGTTTTAAATTTAAATAATCATTTAATATTTTAAACGTGATGTAATCATATTTATCTAAGGTAACTTTATACTTGAATGGATCGTTTATTTAACTAAATATCAACCGGAATAAGAATGCTCAATTTGCTAGTGGCGTTTGTTTTTTTTTTAATATTTTTTTTCTATCGGCAGCTTGCTATTGAACGTTGACCCTTGACGGGCGTGTACTGGGCTTAACTTTTTTTTCTTTTTATCCCTCATGCGGACAAAGGTTGGCCATTCGATAGTTTAACACAATGTACCCACTGATCCTCATTGATCGCCAATTACTGGACATTAAGTACCTTAAACGCTTTTCATATCAGCTATTTGTAGCAACAAATCAAATATCAAAAAAAAACCTACATACAATACAATGGTTCTTTGAAGATTTCTATACTTATTGTTGGGGCGTTTTTATACTTTTATAAGCTTGTTTTTTGAATACGACAACAATAGCTTGTGGGAGCTTAGTGTTGCCACCAATATTTGATGATGATTTAAAAATAGAGGTCAAATTAATTTATTTATTCATTAATATTGGAATAATTTTATTTTAAAATAAAATCAGATATTTCATGCAAGTTATATTAAAATATTTAGTTCTTATACATGTATTTTAAAAACAAGATTTATTTTTTGTTTAGGTATATAAATTTGATTCTTAAATATTTTCCGTATATAATCAGTTTATTATTATATTTATATATAGTTATTTTCATTATAATACAAGCGCGTGTTACCCAAGGTGTGTATATAGATGCGCACGCGTCGCTTCCTCCATTGTGCCCGTGCCACACACCGCACCCGACACAAGAACACATTATTACGTTTTTATTGCGCATCTTCAAAACTATTGTTATTTTTTTATTTTTAGATGTATGTTTTCACGCTGTAATTCTTTTTTATTCTTTTATTAGCTTTATTACATATCTAGGGCAATTTTGTTATATAAAAAATAAAAGTCGGTATTTTTACTTGAGTATAAAATTACGTTACATTGTGTTAATTTGTATTATGTTACCTTATTTTTATTGAAATATCATAATTTTTTTTAAGAAAATTCAAATTAAAATAGCTATATATAGTGAGCGGATACGGATATAAGGTTTTTATTGTGATATAGTCTCACGTCAATGGTGGTCAATTAATAGGAATGAATCATTTGCTCTTGAGACGTTCTTGAGAGTGGTCAGTGATGCTGTGACCGGAGCCCCGCCGTCTGATGCGGGCTAGTCTCAGACAGAAACAGTGGGTCAAATATTTAGGATACTAGATTAATGCAATTAACCTACTGTTTTATTTTATATGGAAGGTTATTATCAACTATGGCCTACAAAAATAATCATGGTTTTCTTATTTGATTGTGTCTTGTTAAGAACTAATAATAGGTATTTGATATATTAATATATAAAATATATTTTAATAATATGTTTGTAATACGAATCCGTGTGGTTCTGAAGCGGTAGCACGCGACCTCAACCAAATATTTTTGGTAATCCGCCACAAGCTATTGTGTATGGATGACTTGATAAAAAAGCTTCCAATACATACGAGCTCATCCCTCGGGACCACTCTACCACTGCACCACGGCCTTCCCTTCATTCCCATAATCTATTCCAATTAACTGACAGCGGCATATTGTGATATTAACACAATACATTCATTGCCCCCCTGATCTCATATTTAGATACAAACACACAAAAATCTATCTTAAAACATAATAAATAGAGTCCATATTTGTTTGTTATTGAGTAATTTTTTTTGGTAATTTTGATTTAGTTAAAGAGGTCGTCTTCAAAGGGCGTTGTTTAAATGTGTTCATACACATGACTTCATACCGATGTTATGAATGCAACTTATAATAACCGAATAAATATTGTGTTTAGAATTAAAGGAAATCATCTGGTTTTATTAAGAAGAAAAAAACGATAGATTGTTCTTAAATAATCTATCGATTTGTTTTTATTAGAGTTTTTCTGTAATGAATCATAATAATTTAACCTTTTATATATGTATAATACAAGCCCGCAGTTGTTTTTATCATTAGACAACTTCAAGAAATATGTATTAGGTATAATCTAGTTGACCCGGCAGACTTCGTACTGCCTCAAACAATAAATACATAAGTTTTTATTTATATTTTTGGAGTTTACCTATAAGTCATAGATATACGTGTCCTTAAGTGCGACAGAATGACTGACATATTAGTTAGTTGTGAAATCTAATGTAAAAAAAGAAAACGTTTGTATGGGAAATAGAAAAGCTTTTTTTTGAGGGTTTTCAGGAAATGAATCAATTTTTTTCATCTTTTAAACCTTCCCTGAACCTCACGAACATTTCAAGACTAAGATGATATAAATCCGTTCAGCCGTTCTCGAATTTTAGTGAGACTAACGAACCGCAATTCATTTTTATATACCACCTATGTACCTATATATAGACGATTCCATATACCTATGTATTTCTTTACACATACACACACACATATACATATTTCTTACATACCTGACCGTTAATTTCGATAACATTACCATATATTCATTTATAAGCACTACCTAGATGCTCAGTAATGTTTGATTAATATATTGAACAATTCGAACAAAGTCGCGTGTCACAGCTAGTGTTATATAAGTGTGACGTCACTGAATAGTATATTTTTATCGTAATTATCGGCTGACCGTCACCAGTAATCCCGTGAGATAGCAACCCCATGTAACCGATGGCGGCTATTAACAGTGATACCATCGTCATTGTCTTTGCCATTTCCCACAATCACGGGAATTAGGGGTATTAACTGATGTGACCATATAAATAAGTTGATTATAAATTTTTTGATTAAAATTGAAGGTTAATATCATTAAAATAATGTAATAAATATTTTCGTAAATATACAATGAAAATAATACCATGATCTTAGGAGTATACTTGTGTGACTTTTATCTCATTTTTCCATTTTCGTGGTTATTGCAATATATCCTAAACATATAGAAAAGTATCTATATAAAATAATAAAATCAAAGTAACAAAAATATATATTTTCTTATAAATTTTTAACATGTCTCGCTAATACGTGTATTTCTATGTAATGTAATTTCCTATGAAGCTATTATGTCTAACAAATAAAATGCATCACAATCCTTAGAATTTCGCCCATACTGACACCTTGCTTACATCCTCACACTACACAGAACCTTACAGCTTTTTATTAATATATTATAGTATTAATGTAGATTAATGAATGAGAAAGTTAACACGCCTCGTATGAAGTTAAACTCCAACTTGTTTTAACCATACGAAACAATACAAGCTACATGTGTTCCCAGACCGCAATTGATAACATCTCTAACAATCGCAATCGATATTTATATCGATAAATCGAAATATCGATGTATCGTTACCGGTAATGAGTGAGGTTCTCAGGAGTCAGTAACATTTCGGGGGTGATGGTATCGCCGTGTGAGATCTAATGTTATACAAATCTATACTATAAATGTATTATTTGAATTACTTGTTGTATTTTTTAGGTATAACAACTAAATGTAAGGTTTTAAATCACGGATAAGCCGAACTAAGTATTTCCATATCGTCTGTCCATGATGACGGTTCCTGAAAAGCTACAGATACGTCGGGAGTATATAGTTTTTACATTAATAAAATAAGCGTAGTATTCCGTAAAATATTAGTTTCAAATTGATCGGAGTATCATTCGAAATTTTACTATATAAAAAGTAAGCTATCAGTTATTAAAGCAAGCTTAACTAGATTTAGACTTGAAAATAAGCTATCACGTCTCTAAGAGCCGTCTTATTCTTCAAATATTTGTATGCTGACTGTTCATATTAATTCCTGTGCAGCGACCAGCTTGTTGAAAGCTGTCTCCATCTCGCAGGTGGCCGACACACGATACTCCATTGTGAGGACGGAGCTCGCCTCAGCCTCCTTCAATTGTCTCCTCTCAAAAGAATTCCTCACAGACAACGCTTGCGCTACTAATTATGAGCGCTCAAAGATTATTTCATGTATGTATGATAAATCAATTAATATCGGAAATAAATAAAAACTAAACTAATATTATTTTGTATTTATAGCTCTCAAATATAATTAATTTGATATATTTTAAATATTTTCAACAATAAGACAAGGACAATTTAAAACTATAAAAAAAATCCATACGAAAAGATTTTTGAATATGCGAATTCTGAAAAATCTAATTAGAGTTGCCATATTAAATAATATTTAGTCATATATATTTTTTTACTTGTATCACAATTCCTCAGTTAATGTACATAAATATTATAAAAAAAATACTTTTTAAACAAGATCGTGATTAATTTACATAAAAAAAAATCCAACAGGTAATATTAAATTATAATAATTAAGTTTGTTTAACATTTTATTCTTTGGATGCCGTCTGAGTCATGTTGAGCTCAGAATGCTCCAACGATTCAATCGTAATGAAAGGACTCCTGATCTCCAACCTCCTATACTTTCAACATTGAGGGCGCATGTGCGATAATACAAAGGCTTTGCAAATATAATATTGAACTTATTATATATGTATTGGATCATAATCACTAACACGAAGGTAGATATATAGATGAGCTTTTGAACCTAATATTTCTATTTGCTTTTTAAGTTCTAATTACTTTTCTTTAGAAACTTAAAATGTAATTAATTAAAATCTAAGCGAATTTACACAATGATGTATTTATGGTGGATAGTTTGTTTATTTTTTTAATATTATTGAATTATTTTCTAAATAGTTTAGTATTAAAGAATTTTTATTTTATTTCAGTTATTTTTGTTACAATTACTTATTTTTGATATCACGCCGTACCCATGTCATATTAATTCTGGAAGTCTTACAAAAATCGGTTTATGCTCTACAAACACACGAATAAAAAGATATCTGTTATATTAATTTACTTCTTTATATATTATTAATTTGAGTATATAAAAATAATCAAAATGTATGGGCAAATAGTAGATAGCACTTTCCTACTAAGTATCGACGCAGTTTCAGTTTAGATCTACATAATAGGTATTATTGATAATAATTTACCAAAATATGCATTTAATTTTTATTTTTGTTAAAATCTAGTACCTATGAGTAGGTACGTATTGTTAACAACATATAAGTACATCGTCGATAAGATGATAGTTTTTTTTATTTTGGTTTAAATAATAGAAAGTTTATGTAAGAGAGATAAGTTTTAGGATGCCACGCATAAACAACGTTGCCGTGATAAAGGTTGCTAAAAAGCAATCAAAATGCTTATATAATAGACAAAATAATATATTTATATCCTTTTTAAGACATATGTTTTAAAATAAATAATTATAATTACCTACAAGATAATTAAAAATTATCCAATGTACACTATAAGCTAGTGGCACGTGTCTCCGCCCGTATGTAAGAGGCATTAGAACATTACACTAATTACTTGTCTCTGACCAAACGTTGAATTTCAATTCTTCAATTGCCCATTAATACTTAGATTATGAGAGGGTATAGGGGCTGATAATTTTCGCGACATCTGCCTAGCAATAGGTAACAGCAAAAACTCATCTATGACTATGATCACCTGCGTAGGTACGACTGATTCAATATCTGTGCCCAATCATGGTCCGCTTAGCTGTCATGCCTTATATGACTTTAATTAACTATAATATACTCTGTGATGGACACAATGTATAAACAACACAGGTTTTGTAAAGTCATTTATGTAACTAAGTACTAACTGAAGCTTTAAAACAATAATAAGTCTAAGATTATGAAAAAAATATATGTTTTATTTTTGCAAAATTCTACATTAAGGTAAAAAACATCAGAATTTAATAAATCAATCAAAACAATGCAACACTACTGTTTAAATAATATAAGATGGATGTCAGCAGTGAATCTTTGGCTATTTATAAATGAATTTAAAAAAAGTAATTTTTAAAAATAGAATCCTTATTTACGAGTGTATAAAATATGCCAACGTTATAAAAGCTGTTTATTGATCATAAATATAACAAATCTTCAATATTAAATGTGATTATCTTGTTTATGTGTACTTCACATTATTACATTTTTGTTTTATAATTATTATCGATGTTATTAAATCGATACAACTTGTTAATCTCGTTTGACAATAACAATACGGTAGGGCTGTCGACTCCGTGTTTTATAAATAATAAAATTATTTTAATATGATTTTAATTTTATATAAGATTTTGGAATGTACTTTTATATTTAATATAGTAAATCCTTTTTGGTGTCTTTAGAGTTGTGTTTATAAATTTCGCTGAAGTGATAATTTAAAAAAAATGTAAAAATAGGGTGACTTAAATATTACATATTAAGTTTATCCTCATTTATAATTATTAAGTGTATGATTACTGTATAATATATGTTTTATATTTGAGGGTATGTGAGCAGCCCTGGTCGCCCACGTGGTCAGCACCTGTAGAACATCTATAGCTGTATCTAGTGTTGGTGCAATCATCTAGACATCTGCCGTCTAGATTATTACGCAATAAGTCCTAATAGATTGTCCCTGACCAGATGTTCTAGGACCGGCCGATGAACCTGTGTTGATTCTCAGCGCTACTAAATTAATACAGTTTTTTTTTATTATTTTAATATATCAGGTTTAAGTTCTCAATCAATATGTACTACCTTTCTCTTGTTGCTAATTAGTATGAGGTGATACAGTAAGGACATTATAAGAAGTAAGTCTATTTTTAATAATAGCGTATAGATACTTTTTGCTCTGAAATCAAGAATAATCCTGTTTCATTTATTGTAATCATACATTTTTTCTCACAGTATTCATTTATGGTTCGCCAGGTGTGATGTCAAAGTAAGGATTCATAGACTAAAAACTAGCTAATTTTATAACACAGAACCTGTTACGCGTCTACAATTGAAATGTTCTATATTTAAATCTTAGCATTAAAGACTAAGCTATCGTTCTATCTAAGGAGGTTTTATTCTAAACAGTGACAATTTAACGGTCAACCGAAATACAACAGAAATATGAAATAATTTATGAAAATAACGTTAAATAATAGCTATGTAGGTACACCGAGAGTTGTTATTAAGCAATTTTGTTTCTAGGAATCCTAGCGTGTTGATAATTTCGTAACAGATGTATGTGTATGTTTTGAAAAATAAACTTTGGCATTTGTCCTACAAGTAAGACCTGTTCCGAAATGACAGTGACGTTTAATTTTTTTTCAATTATCGTAATTACAACGGCCGGTATTTTCTTTCGCTGAGTTGCATCTATCGGAACGGTTTGTGTGTGGTCTAATAATTACGTATATTTATAAATCAAAACGTGTTTCATGTTTGTTTTCATATTTAATTGTTTTTAATGATATTTTCTAGCTATTTATAATAAATCAATTATTTTAATAATACTCGGCTGAATGGCTTTCAACCCAAATTGTCGATTTTGTTATAATAATAAAAATTTAATTTGTATAAATCATTGTTCATGAGGATATATGATTCGCGTTTGTTATCCTTTAGCGGCACGTGTTACTAATTGTGGGCCCGCATACATTGATTGACTCGAGTCCTAGGACGCAACACCGTAACTTTTACTTTAATGGAATATATCCTTATAATAAGAATGTGCATTCATGCGAATTTAATCTCATTTAACTGAATGAATGAATGTTATAATAGTTGATGAACGAATGATTTGTAGTGACTAGTGTTAGATAAAGACTTAAAATCGAGAATTGTTAAAATAGTTGCGGTATTTTTTAAACAAATATTTAACACTAGCTTTTGCCGCGACTCCGTCCGCGTGGAATAGTGACTTCCACCAGATTTTTGGTTCTTCCCACATATAGTTCCCGTTCTTGCGGGGTATTCGGAATGGTCGAGTTCCCGTAGAATTTTCAAGATAAAACCTATGTTTTTTTAATTTACAATGAACTTAACCAGCAACATATTTATTTGTTTATTTGAATAAAGATTATGTTGATACAACTTAAACCAATTATTTCGACCAAATTAGGTACCATAAAAACGGTTTTTGTGAGTTAATCTTAAAAGATAGACATATACTGTCGCGGATTGTTTTTTAGATCATTAAAAGAGCTATTATTCTTTCATACATATTTTTTGTGTATCTTGAACCGTTTTCACGGCGCACGCAACGGAAGGCTTCAAAGATGTAATAATTTCTCCCGTTTTTTACACATTTACCACTATATCTTTGCTCCTATTGGTCGTAGCGTGATGATATATAGCCCACAGCCTTCCTCGATAATTGGACTATCCAACACAAAAAGAATTATTCAATTCGAACCAGTAGTTTCGGAGATTAGCGCTTTCAAACAAACAAACAAACAAACTCTTCAGCTTTATAATATTATGTAGTATAGATTGGAATATTAAATATACATATGTATGATTTTATATAATTGCCTATTTTAACAATATCTTTATAATATGGATAACATGAATAACAAGTAGGTTAGTTTCAATATTTTAAATAGGTAAGTAATATTAAACCCATGGAGGGACGATAATTTGGCTTTAAACTATGTTGTTAATTTAAACAAAACAAAAAAACCATTACACAATACAAAAAAATAAAAATTACATAAGTATTTAAAAATAAAACATATTTTCTAGTAAAAATATTCAATTTTATTTAGTTATTAAATTGAAACTAATATAAAATATAATTAATAATTATTAATAAAAAAATCTTTATCGTGAACATTTAAAAATTAATCTTAAAGGCAATTTATATGATTAAAATTAATAATACTTATTATTTTAAAAACAAATTTATTAATTATTGTTTACATTTTTGGCATTAAGAGTTATGCATTTGCAATATTTTGAATTCGAAACTCTATATAGAGATTTTTTGTAATTCGAATCTTAAAAAAGTTGTTTGATTCTGTGCAACTTTTCCTCGAAAGAAATAATTTGTTTATTAGAAAAGACACAACTTTTTTTTTTATAAACGGTTGACATATTTAGCATTCGCTATAAAAAAAAATGTATTGACGTCCGACCAGGTGGTCCGATGCGATTCCGGCACCCGTTACACCTTGTTTCCATATAAGATATAAACACACTGCTTTGTTTATGTTCGATCTTGTTGTTATAATTTATTGCGGGAACGTTTATAAGATTTTTAACTGGCAACTTTTTAAAGAAAAAAAAAATTAAGCTGTACGCGAGCGTTCGTTGCCAAAAAAAAAAAACAAAGAGCGCGGCAAATTATGTAGTTGTGGAGAACTTTCGTTGCAACTTTGAATGTCTTGTAAACCACATAGAGACATAGAAGTCCGTCTGTGGTCGGGAGATCGTAAACATTTGCAGCTTTCGCTCTTCAACAATCAATTTTCTGTATTTATAGGGTATGTAATTTCACTTTTATTGTTATAACATTTGGAAATGTTAGAAACATATTTTTAATGATTAAAGTGCTTTCGTTTTTTAATAATGTCTTGGTAGATACTTGTAATAGTTTTAATAACGGCTTTATTTGCATTTGCATGCTTTAACTGCTGGTGACAAAGCCGTAGCATGCAATTATTGATGATTTGTTACATTGTTTGATTTAATTCTTCATTTAATATGTTTTATTAATATATAAACTAGCGTCGCCATAATTCTGAATGATTATTTGTTCTTACGATTTCCTCAGCTGAAAATAAGAATTTCACTGTTTTGACGTATTTCTAAAGACGGCTAATAATCTTTTTCATCAACTATTACAATATTCAATTTAAAGATATTTCTTAATATCTGTAATTGAGAACATTTCAATTATTTTACCTTTGAAATTAATTTATATAAACTAATTTGTTTTGAACGTAAGCTATATAATTAAGTTGTTGATTAAGTAGGTTGTATGAGAACAATCATTCAGATAACACACGTATTAGTTGGAGTCACGAGTGCTTACGCTATCTGGAAAAGGCTTTTCCTAATTACTTGGGGTGTTTTGTTTGGTGCTATCAGTGTGTAACGAGCCACAAATGGGTCTCCGGTGATGGCGATCATGCGGGCCGCCCCCCGCCTACGGAGCGTCAAAGGCCTTTGTGGAAAGGATATGCTCACATTCATAGGCGGAGCGATTTTTGTATATCAACCATAATAATAGGTCAAACCGCGATTTGGTTTAAATGATCAAACTTGTCTTTTATATGTAATTACGTTATTCTATATTAAAATTTTCTTAAATAATCAAAAACATTTTAAATTGTAACACCAAAAATATAAGGACAACGGATATCTTCATTATATTTTTACAAGTAATAAAATAAATCAATTTTAAAATCGCCATTTTTAACACAATGTCCACCATATAAGCAGATAAACGCGCAATACCGAGCGGAATCTCGCTTCTATCCTTGTTAATTAGTTTATCTCGTATGAACACTGCAATTAGCACATGGAATCTGGAACGAGGATAATGTGAAGTTCGGTCAAAGCCGCTAGTCTTTTACCTGTTAAAAACGTATTTGTTAAAAGAAATTAATTCTCTTGTTTTTCATACAATAATATCATGTACGAAGGAAATTTAGGTAGATATATAGCTTTATTAATGTACGCGTAGAAGGCAGATTAATTGGGTAGTTTTATAAAATCGTAGGAATTTCACTTAAAAACTATATTTAGTTATAATAAATGTTTTAAATGCAGCATAAGTTCACATTACCATAATATGTCATCCACGTACAATGAATAACAATTATGTTAATGATATGAATGCAATATGGTCTGTGAATTGAACTATCTACATCAGCACGCGACCGCTTCATTTAAACTAACTATGATTATTTTTATATGCTATTAAGTTAATAATTATTTAAAGTTCATTGACCTTGGTATTAGGTTTAAGTTTGGGAGTTAGTTTATGGCTTCTTGGTGGAGAGTTAAGGTACAAAGTGTTAGGTAAGTTGTTCAATGTTTGTACTGTAGTGATGTGTAGACCACAACGAGGCCTTGACAGTTCAAGAAGCCTCTCGCCTAGTCCCAAGGGTCCTTGCTCCTGATTTATAGCCTCCCAAAACCACAGGGATTCAATGTGCCTTTGTTGTTACACACTTTTATTGAATAATAAAGTTTCTCCGCGAAATGGAACAATTTTATAGGTCATAATTCCCTTTTAACGCATCTCACGTTAATATTCAAGGATTTCTAATACTAATCTCTGAAATTTTCAAACATATATTAAACAATATAATTTAAGTAATATATACTATAAAGAACATCTACTGACTATAGCCACGAAATCGTACGGGGATTTATTTTTTCCTAGCATAAGAATTTTAAAACTTGAATTTAATAAACTTCAGTTTTACCTTAATAATACGTAATAACTAGCTATCTACTTTATTACTACTTCTAAACTTATACTTTAAACTAGTATGAACAAAAGCTAAACAAAAACCATGACGAAAATAACAAAATAACAAAAAAAAAGCTAAAACGCACGTGAGTGATAACATCGTTAGTTTAAATTCGTACACTTAGATAATGTGTCGATGAATAATAATGAGTTGTGTAAGTGTGAATCATCAAATATATATAAATTGTTATCAATTAAAAGCAATATAATAGCGATTTGAGACGGGTAGCTGCGACCATATGGCTCGGGGAGGCACGGGACTGTGTGCGGCCATGAGAAATTATCATATTAAAATAATGTATTATAATATAAGAGTAACATAAAAATGATTATATTTGATAGAAATCATGAAATTTATATCAAATATACATACATATAAGCGGATCTTTGATTGGTGTTATCAATTAAAAACGCTATTTCAGAACTAAACATTATTTTATGTATTTATTTATTTGGAAGTCCATACCTATATTTTATATGGTCCTATAAAGCTTGTCTCCCGCTGTTTTAATGGCTGCAACTATTCATGTAAATTTGTCGAGCTCAATTGAAGTTAATAGGTACGTTCGGAGGGTGAGTATTACCAGCTGACGCTAGGTGTGAGGGAATGCTGCCCTCACTATACTCGCGGACAGCACAAAATTGATAGTCAAATAAAAAAACCCATTGTTTATTAAGTGGCCATATACCACACAGGATAGTTCATAATAAAATATTCATTACAACTAGCTTTCATTAAAATAAGTAGGTCTATTTTTATACTGTAATAATATTTTTATCTATTCTTCATTAAGTATAAATTAATAGTAATTTTATTATTTTATAATATACTAGTTTTACTGCGACTCCGTCTGAGTTAATATCAGAATTACATAAACAATAAACATACATTCCTTACAGACAGTAAATCAGAAGATTTTGGATTTTATCAACTTATTTTATCGGATGAAAAGTATTCTATGTCCTTTTCCTTATTCCAAGCTATGTCTTTACCAATTTTCAGCCAAACTCATACCGTTCTTCAGTTATAAATAGAGTAACTAACACGACTTTCTTATATATATATATATATATATATATATATATATATATATATATGTCGTAATCCATACATACTGTCAACGTTACCATAGACTATTATCTAATTTAGTCTCCATTGTCTATGGTACAGTGCGACTGACAGCTGTATAGATAACAATCGTTTGGGACACGTGGAAGGTGAAGCACGAGCCGATGCGGACAGCCAGTAGTTTTTGTGATGGTCATAGATTTGTTTTGTTTATACAGAAGATGAAAAGATCTATTGTGATAAAATCTTCATAAGTAACTATTATATAAAATAGAATATTTTTGTTTATTTTGACGTTAATTGAAATATAATTAGAGTTACATCATTTTTTTTTTATATGGCAATCATTGCTAGTGTCATGTATGTATTTAATGTATATAAAATAATTAAAAATTATACATTTTTCTATTAAATAGGCTTTTTTTTAATTAATGTTAGGAAGTTTCTAGATTTAATTTTTATGTACACGCAGCTGCAATCACACCTGCCCGCCGTCTAGATCTCTAATGCAGCTCACGCGGAATCCTGTATAATATATTTATAATGCAATAAAATATAATGAAATGTTTATATTATGATCTAATACAGCTTTGGCGCCTGGTTTAATGGTTCTAAATATATTTTATTACACACGCACACGCACACACACACACACACACACACATATATAGGTATATATACGAAATTAATGTATGATTATTTAGCTGATTAGATAAATCCTTGGCTCCCGTAATGATAATCTTCTATCACCTGTTCTGAGTCAGTACCCTTTGGGTTATCGCTTATATGAGAAGAATAGCATAACTTGACATTACCTGGCAGTGGTTTCTATTATTATTAGAATAAAGATTTAAACTATATCTCTTTTATCGCAGTAGGAATTGCTTGTGATTTTTCTGATATATTTTTATATATGTTTAATAGGTATTTATTAATATCTAATTTAACACTAGCTGATGTCCATAACTTCACTTGGTCGACTGATTCATAATATGTTACATCGTATATAGCCGGAACAACACTAAATATTAGGCAAATTGTAATAAAATATCCGTTCTATATATACATATTAGTTCCAATTTATTATTTGAGATACTAAGAATTGGTTTTAATATCTGATGTAGGTATGTAATTTATTGAGATTTTTCATGAAGAACATGTAATATTACTAATATAAAATCGTAAATGAAATAAAGGGTCCTAAATGATTGTGAATCTTCGAAAGGATTTCGCTACATTTATAAGAAAGGCAAAATAAATTTGTATGAAAAGGTTCTATTTGTATCTATATTTGTTTTCTATATTATCTGTTCATAGTGCTAAAAAAACATTTAAATAAATTGCATATTAAATTCTATAAAAAATATTAAACAACCAACTGAGTCATGAGAACTTGAATATTAATTACGTTTTAAATGCTCAGTACGTTCGTCACTTACATTAATGTTATAAACAATAGGGTCCTCTGTGTGGAGTCGTATTGTTTTCTGCTATAAATCTAATGCATTGTAATTATAACGTTTAATATGTGACAGTCGCTTTGTAACATGTAAATATATCCTTACATATTATTTGTGAAGTGGGGTGGGAACGGGCTGATATTAGGGCGCTCCGGGACGCCACTTCATCGCCGAAAAGCGAAAGGGTTCAACATTACACGAAATATACAGAAACCTATTATTATAACAATAATATAAAAATTGTCATTCATTAGCTATATTGTTTATATGAATAAAGTTATCATAGTCATATTATTTTATCGTAAATATAGGTATACCTTTCAATGCTCAGTTTTTTTTATATATATCTAATTTGTTACTAGTTTCATTTTGATTCAAGTTCACATTAAGTGTAGTGGAATAAATAAGTTTTGAATCATTCGTATTCATATAATCGTAAGTATTCAGCATATTTAACATAAAACCGATCGTTTACAAGAAACAAAAGTACAATTGTAAAGCAAACTATATGCCCCCAGCGTTGTGCCACTCGAGTAGTAGACTTGCAATGAATTGTTACTCACAAAGACCTAAGTAGCCACTCGTTGTGAGAAACTGTTGCGAATTCACCGATTCCCGTCTGGGAATGTGGGTACTGGGTACGTTTAAGAAGTTTTGGTTGTGCATTGTTAATGAAGACTCTTATAACAAATGCTTTGCGTAATTAATACTATTGTTCAATATATTTTTTGCATTATATTTATTTCTATGCAAAAATTTTAAAGTATTTGTTTAGTGAGATCCAATTTAATATGTTGCTGCAAGTAATTTTGTTAAATATATACCTATAATTGATAAAATTCACATATGAATGTTGTTAAGATTTAATTGTTATAAAGATTTGATGGTAGTTATATCTAAAATGTAATATTCCGATATGAATTCAATAACAAAGTATTAAAATAACGTTTGAGCATTCAATTGGGCGGTAAGGTATCGTCCATCGAGATAGTGCTATGGTGGTCTATTGTCGGTTGACGCCCCGCTGTTCGACTTCTGTTCGCCATACGAGTGTTTTATTCTTATATTTTATAATTGTTGCATTTATTTCCACTCCGATGACCATTACGTTCATATTGTTGTAATCATTGTGGGAAGCTTGTTATTAAATATCAAAGCTCCGCCGTTTTCATAACACGATCTGTACAGTTTAGTGTTATTCAAATCCAATTCTTTCTATTTTTCTATATAACTAAATGTCTTATGTATTAGTTATAACTCATGTCTTAATTTAGTAACGAAGTTTCATACAGATGATTATCTTAGATCGTTAGTGTATATGAAAGCGTTAAATCAGATGTTAACCCGCTGCGTCCTAGCGCGTGATATAGGAACATTGTTGGCTCACACCGATCTCAAAGAGTCTGTGAGTTTAATGAGATCGACTCGACAGATAAGAGCGTTCTCACCTCCCCGCGGCCTGTTAAAGGGTTCGCCGAATAATTGCAATAATCAATACGAAGGAGCTATCGAACAATTTGTATGGTATTTGTGCGGGCTGTCTCCCGCTGATAGCATCGCGTATGGGTGACGGCTACTGGTGGTCCTTTGTAATGGTTACATTCTCACACTTCAAGGGTTACATTATGCAATTAACGTTCGAGTGGAACAGGTTGACGGTGTAGCTTTGCGAATACTATACGGATTGATGGGATTTATAGATTGGGCTCTCTATTTGTACTAACGAATGAAAATAACGTTTTAATTTGACTATCCGTTATAAGCTTTTTATGAGTTTATTTTTAAGGTTTTAGAACCCATCTATCTTTATAATTTATTTTATACGTACAACATATTTGTATACTAAAAGAATATGTACCTACTAAAAATACAATGAGTTAAAAAATATTTTAATACTCTAAAATTTATTAAAATAACGGTTTACGATTATCTATAGATAAAATCATGTTTTTAGACTGTATTTACAGGTAAATAAAACAAATATGTTAAACTGTTAATGAATTCTTCAAAACGTATTCTTTATTAAATTACATATGAATTGAAATGATAACATGTAACTATAACAATAAATGTTGAATATTTTTGATGATTAAACACCCTATCATTCATTAAATGTTCATAACTCAGATTGTTCAGATGACAAATAACTAAACTGAACAAAAACCCAAAATAAGTATATTAAGACATTCGACATTAATAAATAACGTTACAATAAAAAAAAATCTTTAACGACGAGCTTAGACCGCGTCCTACTAGGAAAATGTGGAAACAATACAATAACTCAAATCCCAGTCAATAATAAGACATAAACATCAACTCCTTCCAATACATCACGTAAACGCTGCGGTAACGGTACGGAACATTTGTCACTCTTAAACTTTGTTATTTATGATGCAGCGAGGAACAAGGACAAAAACTGATCCGATGTTAAATATTTGCCTGAGACAAGGGGGGGCGATAATTCGAGGCCATTATGACGTCACTTCACGCCCTTTGTGAGGTCGTCAGGCCGTGTCAACCGTTCTTATAGACGCCTGCCTCTAGTATCTGTCTATTGTGTAATTTTTTTACAACCTTCGAGTCGGATGCGCCACCGACGATGATTCTGTCTCGTTCGCATCTTCGCTAGTGTCTGTAAAAACTCGAGGAGCCGTCCCATTGTCTGCTGGCCCTTTTACGAGCAGTGTTTTGTGTGGCTGTTATTGTTTGCGGTCGATAAACATCACCATCTCGGCGGGGATCATTAATACTCGCCGGTGGTGCGCTCTAATAGAGCCCTATATTGGTTTGTCAATTACTGACGTTTTGAATGGTGCGCTTGAGACATCAGCTCCTCTTACAGAATGGAATTGATGAACAAAGATCTATTGACGTTGAAAATCAATATGAACAAGGATTTGATATCTTACAAACAAGATCCTGCACTGGTTGCCGCGATTAATAAACTTTATAGTCGCAACGACGCAATGAATGTCCCGTCGCTTTTACCGGAACGTAAATTGGACTTTGATGAAGTTCAGAGACTTTTGAAGCCCGCTGTTGTTAATAAAGGTATACTATACATATACTAAAACAATAAAAATAATGATAATTAATTCAACATTATAACCAATTATGAACCTTTCCAGTTGATTCTAAACCAATAACTGTACAAAAAGGAAATGAAAATAAAGCAGTCATTATAAAGAAGATTGAAAATATTCTAAAAAACATCGATAATAGTGCAGAAAGAGGCGTCTCACCGAAACTTGTAATAAGAAACCAAAGATTATGGAGCAACTGCATTTATGATTTAGATCGGTCAGTTAGTAATTCAACGAAAAAGACTTCTTACACGCAGTATGCAGAGACTTCTCTTAATCTTTTTGTTGTAGTGTAACATTGAAATCCATGAATAGCGCTAAAACGACAAAATTAGTGTATTCAAACAACGAAGATAAAACCCGTTTCAACATGATAGTGTTTGTTTTGACCAAAATACATGAACTATTGAGCAAGAATATAACAGTTACTAGACGGTAAATAAAAACAAATAAAAATAGTACTAATATAATATATATATTTCAATTAATATTAATGCATTTTCAGTGAGTTATTCTATCAGAATGTAAGTAGATTTGTAAGTCAAACTAAATTAGATACGGCTGTAAGGGACGCGTGCTGTTTGTTGGAAACACCGCCATGGAGTCTGGGCGTCGTGGCGACAGCTAAGGGTCTGATAGCTGGTCCTATAAAGATATACAATAGTGATGGCTCCATACTTGACTGTAATGTGGCCGGAGGTGATATATTTATTATATATGTACATATAAAAAAAAATTTAATGATCCTATTTTAATAACCGACTCCAAAAAGCTAAAGTTTATAATGGATTACGTATTGAGTTTGTTATTTTAGACTTTTTGCGGCTTTTTATGAATCAGAATAGAAATTATTTTTAGCAACTTACCTTTAACTTTTTTCAACCTTTACGCTTTTTTTAATATCACTATTACCTATTAGGTATACAAAGCTATGCTTTTCGCATTTACTACATATATGATTTCATTACTTTTTATGTTGTTTACTGTAATCACGGCTACTTCAAAATTAGAGAATAATGTAATCACTTAGTAAATGCTAAAAATACTTTTATTAAATCTTAGATATTCATTAGACTATATCTAATTAAGTTTACGTTAATAAACATCAGCTACAACCTTTTTTGAAGTCGGTTATAATTAATTAACAGTTACATTAGCATCTCAAACTATTCCAGGTACTTTAATACCACAAGATATTGTAGGTATCACTAAGTTTGAGACAACAGCCAAGTACATACTGCTGGTGGAGAAAGACGCGATCTTCCAGAAGCTACTTGATGAAGGGGCATTGATTCGATTGGCTCCTGTCATTATATTAACGGTATTATATACATATATAACACTAGTTATAAACCGCAGTTTTGTCTGCACATTAAAATAACCTATTGAAGAAGTCGTTTGATTTAATATATGCTTACAATTTTTATTCCAACAGTTAAATGAAACTAATATTTTTCGGATACACTCACCTCATCTCATCATGGTTGAAAAGTAGCTGAATCATAGGGAGTATGGTAGTTTTTTATAATAATAATGTCGAAAAATATTAGTTTCATTTAAATGAATAAAACTCGCGAATGTCTTAGATCTCATTTAGTGATAAGGCCGCCCTTGCCTTCAATTTTCTGTATTGAACCATTTATATTTAATGTTATTTCATATGATATTGAAGTGTTATAAAGTATTCTTCTTCTTATTCTTATTAAGAATATGTGTATGTAGGGGTAATAGTGTTATATTATTGAGGGTATACCTTATCCTCCCCCAGGGTAAAGGTTACCCGGATGTCTGTACCCGTCAGTTGTTGTACCGTCTCGTGTGTGAGCTCCGTCTTCAAGCCCTGGCGCTGGTGGATGCTGATCCACACGGCTATGAGATATATCTTACTTATAAATACGGCTCACTTGTAAGTTGATTTATTATATACTAGCTTTCCGCCCGCAGCTTCTCCCACGTGGATTTCGGTTATATCGCGTTTCCAAGAGAACCTTTCAAAAATCTCGGATAAAAACTATCCTATGTTCTTCCTCAAAGTTAATTCTATCTCTGTACCAAATTTCATTAAAATCAGTTCAGTGGTTTAAGCGTGAAAGCGTAACAGACAGACAGACAGACAGCGTTACTTTCGTATTTATAATATTAGTAGGGATTGATAACTATATTGTATTTTGAGTGTAAATGATTTTACTTTAGATATTATTGTTTATGATTATTTGTAATGAAAAACTCTTCGTTTTTACTTTTCCTATAATTAATCTTATATTGCATATCATGTTATTAATATGGTTTTATAAATATTGAAGTATCTTTTATATTATCGGGTTCACAAGAATCTTTCACATACCAATTTTTATTTCTTCAAAAGTTATACTTCTGTGTCAATATCATATTTGCATTTTATATTAAAGAAAAAACAAAAAATATTCACTTACTACCCAAATAGGTAACTACTAGGTAGGTACTACAAAAGTATAGGTGTAAAAAATCACGATGTATTACGTAGGCACAATCTCACTTATCTGATTCCCTGGCGTGTACCAGTCTGTTGTTACTGGGAGCGAGCTACCAGGACTTGATGACGCTGGTACCAACACCAGCTAGATTGACACTCACAGCTATAGACAGACGGAAACTAACCGCACTCATTAATCGACCGTATTTAAATACACCGATAGGTATGTTTTATAAATCTATACGATTCAGGCAAAATTTATTATGTTGTTATGCTACTGAGATGTTAGATTTTCGCGAGTATTCATTTAAATGAAATTAATATTTTCGGACTTTACTTCGCGTTTTTATTTTTGTTTATAAAATACATGCCCCCGATGTTTCGGCTACTTTTCAACTCGTCTGTCCATGATCACGGTTGCTGAAAAACGCAAAGTAAAATCCGAAAATATTAGTTTCATTTAAATGTTATGGTAATTTTGCATTCTAAGACCATTGGTTCAACTTTAAAGTAAATGAAACTAATATTTTTCGGATAACTACGTGTATTTTATTATTTTTAAAATGACTTTGCAGCAATCATGACCACGGGCAGACGAGCTGTGATCACAGTTGAGCAAAGTAATCGAAACTTCGGGATTATGTAGTTTTTTAAATAATTAAATAAGTATAGTTATCTCAAAAAAAATTGTTCATTTAAATGAATACTCACGAAAGTCTTAGGTCTCTATATACCTAATATAAGCAAGTTAGTATCATTATGATACATAGATATATTTGCGGTTAGATAATAGGTTTATTTCCAATGTATTTTAATTATGATTTAGGAGGTCCCATCAAAGAGGATCTAAGGAGGATGTTAGAGCGAGGTCTGAAGGCGGAATTGGAGGCTGTAGTCCCTTATTCAGTAGCTATGTCCGATTCTTATATACCTTCTAAGATTATAGCCGCAGATTTTTTGGGTTGATAATAATACCATAATATAAGTTCCTTTTATATTAATACCTAATGTAGGATAGATCCCTTCAATATATATTTCCTTTGTAAATAAATCTTTTATTGAAATTAAAGTAATATTCATCCCTTAAATTGTTAACCTATTAAGCCTTTATCGATTGATTCCAATCGTCATCGTTATTGTAATTTATATTTATTATTATTTGTAGTCAATAATGAAAGTTTTTGTTGTGTAAGTAAATTTAAATTTATGTAGCTGAGGACTTCCCCCATTTCTATTAAAAAGCGTTAAAATAAATAGTTATGTTTCATACTGTATTTTTTTTGGCTATATGTGTAGCTTTATGATTAAACTCTGCTAGTAATAAAAGTTTTACAAGTATATATTTGGTAACGCTGTGGCATCTCGTGTTGTTTGGATTAAAAATTTGGCTGGTCAAAGTAATGTTTGTGAGAAGCATGCTTGTGGCGGAGATGAGAATATTATGATAGATCTGTGGAAGGATGAAAACGGGTTAAATTTAAATATATAAGAGGAAATAAGAAAGTAGAATTAGTAAGGCAGAAATTGAAGAGTGGAAGAATTGCTTGGTATGGTCATATTATGTGAAGGTATGGAAGAGATTTCACTAATAAGATATAAGGATTGATAAAAGTAGTCACGTGATAAGGGCTGTCCCAAAGAGCTGTGGAATATCAATGTATATGAAGATATGTATGAAAGAGTTAGTATAGAGATGACAAATCATAGATTAGAGCGGAGAAGGAGAATATATTTTGCCAATCACCCCTAGCGTAGCATAAGTATCGGAAGATTTGTTACATTCTGAATTACACAGTGAAACTGTTGCGGGTGATGCCATCTAGTGGATTAATAGTCAAGTTAAAGAGCCATCTATCGATAAATATTAAACTATTAACATATCCCTTTAGAGGGTGAGTTACAAAGAGTTGTGGAAAAATTTGGCTAGATGGCGCTCTTATTGATACACCCTGAACAATGATTAGTTTAATATAAATATATACTGTTTATTATAATATAATAATTATTTAAGTAGTAGGAATTACAAACGGGGTATTTTATTATAATCAATTTATGAAGAATTTATTTGTCGTAATTTAGTTTTAGTTGGGAATGGTTATATTGAAAATGGTTATGAATTGTTTTGATTGATTTTAAATATACTCAGTCTTACGACTAAGAAATACTTGTAATGTATAATTTATTAAATTTATATTAAAATACATTGGGAATGACTACTAATTAATACTGGCATAAAAAAATAGCAACCAAACGTAATAAACGTCAACACAGGATGTAGTTTCAGTTTGAATGGTATGTAGGTATCTAAATTATAAAGTCATTTGAAATGGAAAATAGTTGTGAACCATCGAACGATAAGAGGTCACTCGTGAAAGCTAAATCTGTCAATAGTGGATGCACGAAGCAAATGAGGAGTGAGCCGGTCAAGAGGAAATCGTTTAACGTGAACGAAGCGGTTCGTTCACTGGATCTAGCGTTAGTGAGACTGAAAAAGAGCAAGCTGGTCAATGGAGATATTGTTCCGAATAGTACTAATCTAGGCAGAAAAGATCCGATGGAACACATCACGAATCAGACCAATTTCACTGACAATTCGTCCGTGGTTTCCTTGAACTTTTCCCAATACGAACTTATGCGTAATCTTTCAAGATCGAATTGCAATCTCGATAACGCCTTCAGCAACACCACCTGCGAAACATTCTCCAGTCTCACCGACATACCAGCCAGAGACGAACAACTTGAGAGATATTTTAGGAGTATAGATGTATGGAGCCGGAATCACAGAGACGCTAGTTCGAGCGAGATGTAAAACATATAAAGTTAAATCATGACATATAAATATAAATAAAAATTCCATTTAACGATTATGAAAATTTAATTTATTCAAAGAAACTTTACATTAATAACAGAATTACCTCAGAATTTACAAAAAAAAACCATACCGATCTATACAACACTGTAACTCTTAAACAAGACAATAAGATTTATAACACTGATTAACAACAACGTAGAATATAATTTTCACTAGGGCCATCAAACGGCGCGTCACTGAATACAATAATATATAAGAACGCCCTGTATTTTGTAACAACTATGAATCTCTAGTCTAGAGTCTAGCCTAGTGACGTCTGGTTAATAGTAGAGACAGTCGTGAGGTTGGATAGTGCGAGCTCAGGATACGTGTGGGTGAAGTATTATTGTGTTCAACATCGCGCGTACCATCCATCTAATAGCTAAGGAGCCTTCCGACACCACTATGAAGATGCGAAGGCTGACACTACACTGCGTTCAGACTGAACTTGACATGCTCCAACATACCTTACTCCAACCAATTTAGGCTTAAGTTCATTAACATTAATCGGTAGATTCAGTGTCACATTTGGTTAAATCCATGTCAAGTACAGTCTGTTTCAGCACAGGATCGCTAAGTACAGAGCGTCACTGATCGACATTTTAAAACACACCCATTTATAAGAGAAACTAGCACAGAAATCTAAACTATATTACGATGGAATCACAAACATTAGGAAATAAATCACAACTGACGCGAGTGGAGATAAGGAAATAATTGACATAGTCATCACATAGTTTCTATTTTTCCGCCCCAATAGTTTTATGGCTTTGGAAGCATTCGCTACGCTGGAAGACTAAGGGCTTTAGATAAAATAAGTGGTATTAGAAGCTATGTGTCCGAAATAGGTTGATCAGGAGTGGATAGTACTATCAGCCTGTCACTTCGATTACATAACTACTCTTAACATATTGGTGTTCTTGATAAAACCTTATAGATTTCTTATTCAGTGGCTTTTATCAAAAAGGTTTTATTTGTTATACTAGACGTTGCTCTCTATACATAACCGTACTGAACTCTGTCGGCGTCCAACGAGTTGCCGATGAACCGTCAATGGACTATCATATCATAAAAATTTCGCTAAATAAAATTAAAACGATGTTAATTTTAAAGCACCTGGTTTCAGAATCTCTCGTTTTATAATAATTATTTATATGAATGCATTATGATTAGCCCTTTATAATATTGTCTAACATTGTTACAGTTTCGAAGAAAGCAATATTATTATTTAGTTTATATTTTAATTAATTATGGAAGAATTTTTCAAATTTTCTAAATTAATATTATTCTTAGATTAAATTTTATTAATTAAAACGAATTCGATTTGACTAGGCCCTACGTATATCAGATGCAGATATAATTTTAATATTTATTCAATATATTTTAATACAATATCGATAAAATTTTTATTATTTTGCAATAGAAGAATCACAGCATCCTTAAGACAATAACGGCGATTGAAATTAATGTCACCGACACATCGTAGGTATTTAATTGTAAAATTTAGACCAAATTGGCAGTCTTCACAAACATGGAATGGAACGATATGCGTCTATGCAGGTATCCAATAACACTTAAATTACATCGCTCGACATTTATATTTCTATACAACAACAACGAACTACCTATCATTAGGTCAATGACACCGACACAGCGTTTGGAACATCGACGCTCTATCATCATACATATATTAAATCTTGTTAATCTTACTTTAAATATTGCACTCATCTCCTTCTACCCACAAAGACTAACATTCGACCTGTTTCGATGCATGGTATCTGCGAAACTATTGTCATTCCATGTACAATTTTACATACGGTGGCCGTTTTTCACTAATTTTATAAAATCTAATTATTTTCAACAAACAAATCAATATATTTTTGTTCGACGTCAGTTCTTTTTGTTCACGCAAATCTCCGAGTGGTATTTTATCGTTTTATATAAAACTTGTAATTTGAATTTACTTAGTGGTGTTTTAATTTACGTGTAAAGGCTTTCTACGTTTCATCTAATCTATACAGACTTGTGTTATAACGTGCGTTGTATTGGGATACATTTATAATAGATTATTTAAATCGTAACAAACTTTTTCATCTTAAAATATTCAATTATAAATTCATTGTATTGATTTCTTCATTAGCTCTGGGACAATCTATTAAATTCCCGTGTGATATACAAACGATAAATTAATCTGCCGTTGAAATTCTTAAATTTACATTCGAGCTAAGGTGACCTTATTAGAGTGACAATATATTAAACAGACTTATGGTCTACAAGATATATGGAAAGTGTGATATATGTGATGGAGCAAAAGCAGCGAAGGATTGGGGATGATCAAGGTCACTTCATTTCTAAATATTAATTATAAATATGCTGTATCAGGGTTCATACAGGGTTCATACATAACCTATGAATTATATTATTCATACACTTGCATGAGGTATATCAAACAGCGCTTAAACTTTATCAAAAGTAACATATAAATATCTGTAACGTATTACAAAATGAAAATATATATTATTTTATTAAAGGCCTAGTAGATTCCCTAAATGATAAGCTCATTTTATGTAATTGAATTTTAATGTTTATAAAAAATAAAGATTGAAAATTTTCGTTTATTCACTAATAAAATGATACGAAAGGAAACCTAATACAGTATAGTAACGACAGTACATTCCTTTATACTCGTAAATGTGGAAGTAGAAAGGGTAACAGTAAAGCCTAAAGGGTAAAGCTCGAATTGCTATGAATATTGTGATTACAATAAGTCTTTACAACGTCAACAAATATAAATTTAAGTACAAATTGATGGCGTATTAGAACGCTTCCAATATTATTTATTTAGATTCAAAACCACATTACAACACTATAAAATACTAGAGAAGTATAGAGAAGCCAGACTGCTAAAGCGATGACGTATGGTAAGACAAACAAAGATATAATAAAAAAAATATGTACCTCTAAACGTTTAGACCGATTCATATAAACGCGTACGTTATACTACGCAATACTATAGCAAATATTTGACTGTGTGAACTCATTATATTAATCATAAGACGCTTAATTATACTAACATTATATTAAATATTTCAAACACGCTTGATAAATCTAGCGTCGTCAAATAGGAAGGCGTAAATAAATTTACTAGAGAACACACTTTAAAGCACTATTCCATTTACATATATACACAATAATGGGATAACAAGTGTAAGTAGTCTATGGCGGTACATATGTCGTTAGTCACGTGGTCGAGTGATATCTCTTATCTATCTGGCGGAGGCAGCTTGGTGTCTTCTGGGTCCAGGGACAGGCACTCGAGGAGATAGTCTTCCATTGAACGGTAAACGTGCTCGATAACACCTTCAAGTTCGTGCCCTTCATCAGCATACGCCTGGGAATAAATACCGGAATCATAATATAGATAAAATAAATAGTAAGTCGTTGACAACGCGCTAACCATATTGAAAATAATTTGACATCATTATTCATTTTTTCTGATCCAAGCAATGAATCTGACTACTTTCTTGTTTTTGAAGAACAATGTATAAAAAAAGGACAAAATAATTTGGTTAGTATATAATTTTCAAACTCAGTTTTCCTTTTAATTTCCGTCATGAATAAGGTCCACTCAAAGTTTCCGAAAATGAAACCAAGATTTTCAACTAACCTGATATCTAAACAGTACTCCGGCGTCAGTCAAGGCTCGAGCTAACTGCAGAGCATGAGGGTACGGCGCGCTCATGTCCGCCATCCCGTGCACGAGGTACAGCGCGTGTGGAGGCACGTGGTGCGCGCGCTGGGACGCATCAGCCTCCACATACCCTTTATAATTAACTGACGGCTGGCCCAGGATACGCTCCGTGAATGCTGCGTCTGTAAAAACATTTTCTGAGCTGCTTCACTGACTATACCATTATGTACATGAGAATTTTAATATGAGATCAAAGTTTACAACATCTTGAGCAACTTAGGGATTATAATGAGATCTATACTGAAAATTTTACCTTAGATTAATTTGTGATTTATCAAAAAATGTACTATAATTTTGGAATATAGTTTAAAGGGTCGACACCAAAATTTAAATGTTTTATCCTGATGATAAGGACGGTAGAAAGTATACTTGCCGATAAATTATACTACGTCAAGCATTGCACACAAACTATTTGGAAGATGTACAACACACGGATATAGGCCACAAAGTATCTACATACAGACTTTAAGCGAAGCAAACAAGCTCGGAGTACCAATTTTATACTTGCAAATACCAATATGGAAACGTCAGTTATTATACAGAAACAATTTAAAATAATAGGTTCTATAAAACACATTTATTGATTGTACATCATGATTCCTAGAGCATAATTCCTCTGTTTGTTAGAATTTTTGCTTTTATAACATATTTTTATTCAGGTGAGTCGATTCTTTTCCTCATGCTTTAATAAGGTTGTCGTGCATTGAGATAGTATGTTAACTTACTGTAATACAGCCAGTCTGTGATCGGTGACACCGCTATACCACACTTTAAAGTAGACTGCTGTGACCCCAACAACATCGACGTTACATATCCACCATAACCCCATCCCCATACAGCAACACGAGTTACATCCAAGAATTTAAATGTTTCTAATAAATATCTGTAAATAGAAATATATTTAAGCCTCCAAATAGACTTAATAATAAAATTGTTTTAAAATAAAACATAGGAATGACACGTAGACTAAATTATTACAAATACAAAAACAATTTGTAAAGAATATATAAAATTCTAATACCTAATAACAGCCAATTGATCGGCCACCTCGACCCCACCGAGGCGACCTCGTAACAGCGCTCGGGGAAGCCCTCTAGCGCCTGCTACATCTAATTTAACGTAAACTACGTCATTACGTGAGGACATATACGTTCCCCAGTCTACCATGAATTCATCCGTCACTTGTTGACTCCCAGGGCGACCGTCTCTGAAGACAAGTTTATAATTTTATTAGTATTAAAACTGAGAATCGATACAAAGAGTCTTTTGGCTAATATCTTACACGTGAACTAGTACAGGAAATGCTGCGTCACGGAGTTCCTCTCTCCAAGATGGCGGCAGCAGAAGCTGTACACGGGCTTTAGAGCCACTACTCAATTGTACATCAAATGATCTACGAGAAGGTAATGCCAACTCACGTAATCGTACAGATCTGAAAGCATGTATAAACGATAGTGACAAAGGTTAGTGTCAAGTTTTGTATGTTTTAACATAATGATAATGTATGTTAAAGCTTTTTTCACCTATAAGGCCTCGTATCGTATAAAATTCTCTCTAACTTATGAGTCCTGGCATCATGAAGACCTGCGAGTGGAGGACCAGGACCTCTGCACTCCAGAACGTAATGAGTTATACCACGCTTCGGCTTAGGAGGTGGGAACGTCGCGCTCCAGAACGTGCAGTTGGCGTAATGAAGCCGAGCAGGCCATACAGCCAACTCGCAGGTAAGGCAACGTGGTTCTTCGCGTTCAGCTCTAGCTCTGACAGAGTTACTAGCTCCTCCGTAGCTTGGATCACGGACCACGTACACCTGCCTCTGGCCCGGTCTATCTGCGCTACCTGTTAGGAAGAAAAGAATTTTGAGAATAATCCAAATAAAAGCCGTCTTTCGATTCACATAGGGCAGCTTGCTAACAATACAAACTTAAAACACCGCTAACACTTTTAAATTTATACAATAGGAACTGAAAGGACAATGAGCTAAGCATACAGAACTACAACTGATGTTGGGTTAGTTATTGAGGCGACTGCACTATCAACAAACACCACTCAGCTGCAATTAATTTTTATACTTAATTCGATTAGCTTCCGCGTCCATATCAGGATGTATACGCGAGTGAAACGTTTCGATGTCAAAACCTTCAATAAAAGATAATTAGTTATACAAAACTACCAAAAATTTTATATTGTATGTCATAATATTGTGTGACGTACCTAAATAATAAACTAAACTGTTTTCCTGGTCCCACGCCAGGATCTTCGCCACCTCCACTTTACCGTGCGATAGAACAGCTATACGTTGACGGAGGACATCAACATGCTTAATATGAGTATAGTATTGGCCTCCGCCTTCTTGTACTGCTGCTAGAAGTAGAAAAGCACTGCCGTCTTCTGAGTAAACCGGACGCTGATGAACTTCTAACCAAGGTTCATCAGTGGCTTTTTCTGAATGGGTCTAAAATATAACATTGTTTACATGATTATCACTTATTTTAGCTTATTTTTTTCTGATATTAAATTTATGCTTGCCTCAGTGCATGTCCAATTTGGAGCATAGCAGCTGCTGTACACAGTTAGATTCTGTGCACGATTCATCCAAACTACTCCTATATGAGAATTTTCTTTGCCCACCCATTGGGCTGATATGAGATAATATTCCCTATAAGATAACCAGAACAATTAATAATAGTATAATATATAAAAATGTATATATAATATATAACTAAACTTACATGCCATCTAATGTACTTGGAGGTTTTACTTCCCACCTGGGTGGAGATGTTACGTTTTGTACCGCAACTATCCACAGCTTAACAAGAGGTATTGAACTACCGGGCTGCGGATATAAACATATTAAATATATATTATTACGAACACAGCGATGCTATAGGTTTTAAACAAAATCGATGTTATACCGTGGGATATCTGATCGTTACGTGATCAGGGAAAATGGTTGGGTTACTGTTGTTGAAAGCTGGTAGCAGGAACCCTGATCTGGAGGCACCAGCGCCACCTATCCCGGAGGAAATATGTGGGAACCTCATCTGAGACACCTTCCTGTCATCGTACTGGACATATAACACGAAAGCCCCGTCCGATGATCCCCACGTCGCTGATGATTCTTTTGTCACCTCCTCTGTGAAAGTTTTTTAAGAAATTACGTAAAAATCCAGTTCGTCACTTCTTCAATCTACCTGACACTGGTAGGACCTATCATCCAAACTTCCACGACAAACAAAGGTCAATAATACAAGTATTAAATTGTTATGAGTAATAAAGAGTAGTATCTTTAGTTTATTTACTGAGCGAACCTTGGTACAACCAATCCGACACGCCGTTATAAACGCTGCCCGCGATAGCATCGTTTGTGAGTCGCAGCAAGGGTGCTCTTCTTGCGGGAGGAGCTGGTCTAGCCAGGACCTCGTTATCCGCAGCCAGTACGATAGCTCCCTCTGTACCGAGCCAGGCCGCGTGCTGCCACTCCCAACTGCTCTGACCCTCGCCGAAGAGGGGGATGTGGTGGCTTGGAATGATAAAAATAACTAGTGTATCCTTGTTTATAATAAATAAAAATGACGTTAGTTCTTAAAATAAAATTTCATTTCATGTAAGGTACATGTATGAAAATTAATAAAAACAAGATGGTTCTCTTTTTTTTTACATCTACATTTTGGATGAAGTATATCAAATAATTCCATGGAAGGTTTTTAAACCAGTACATATCAAGACAGTAACTAGCATAAATTAAATAATAATGTTAGTTGTTATAGAAAATGAATTATTTAACATATGAACATTGATTGTCACTGAACAACTATACTGGCATTAAATCGAGTAATCTTAGACCAAAAATGTCTTACATTATTTTAGTAAAGACCCTTACATTGCTGCACTTATATTAAATACAAATAGATAAGGTCAACCGGAAATAAACTGGCTTCCAAATAAAAAAAACGCATTAAAATCGGTCAATCCGTTTAGAAACTACACAGTCACACAGACAGATATGTATATTGTATATGTCAAACCTATAACAAAGCTCTTATTGCGTTAGGAGTTAAAAGGTATAAAAAAAACAAATGAAAGTCCATAATTTTTATGACTATGATTTTTTATCAAACTATTTTTTAAGGTTGAAAACTAAACGAAAATAAGTTTTCCATATGTCTTCACAAAAAAATTAAAGCAATAAATCAGAAGTAATCAGTTTCGTTTATATTGAAAATAGAAAAAAATATGATGTAAAATAATATTTTTCATTCAAAATACGAGAGCTAGGGAAAACTTTTAATTAAAAGGTTAAAAGGATGGTGGAATGTCATAATCCTGTTAACGATATCTTAAGTAACAAAATAAAAGCCTTTGAAAAAAGTCTGCATAATCATATTATCTGACGAATTTTTTACATGTTTATAAAGTAATATATTCATTGATAAAACTGTTTATTTTTTCAAATGTTTTCAATAGCTACAGTTTTACTGCGAATAAAACTTATCGGACGCTTACTTTATTTATGATAGAAGAAAAACAACAGGAAATAGAAAATAGCTTACTGGAGCACTATCGCTGAATAATTCGTACGATAAAAACTTTCATTCGTTTATGGCGTGGAAGGACTCCATTGAAGTAGGGCCCTTCGTTATTTCTTAAAGAAACCGCACCCAATTTAGTGTTTATTAAAAATAATTGCAAGATTTTCTTTGGGCGCCATTACAAAATTTAACCAAAATATTTTAATTATTATAATTTTAATCTACTAAACAATTCTATACTTTAATAATAACTTACTCATTAGTGACGTCATAAACCGTGTAATGCGCAGTAAAAGTCCGTCGGTAAACCTGTAAAAAATAGTTTCGTATCATAATTTTCATAGAGTGACTTAATACTGTTGATGAAGCTCAAGATAAGCGCTTCCAAAGTAAAGCAACAATGTCGATATTAAATAAAATAGGGTGATGTTTTTTAATACAACCTCTTTGATGTTGTGTTGAAACAGCACGAAGCGCAGATTTGGCGAGCATTGATACCCTCGCACATTGAGCTGCCTCTGAACAAGAAGATCAACGATCATTATTTTGAAAGTACATTTTTTTTTTCAACTTGACTCCAGCTGCTAGCCCTATTGGCTTTGACAGCGTCACCGGGAGAGTTCGGAAGTACAGATATATGTATAATTCATGTACAATCTCTTAAGTTTCAGAACAAAAATCCCTCGAGTTACATAAATTGATTAACAACAAGTATATTCTAATGTAAAATATAAATATACTTCTGCATTAAGAAATGAATGCTCTCCCTATACTACCAGGTTTCACCAAGGACTCTTTACAAATTAAGCTATCATACTGGATTTCGAAAAAATTATTACTTACATAATATATGTTAGATAAATATAAATAACAACTGTGTTTCTTCGAAATATCAAAATAGAATTCAATTGTAAGAATTACAAAAAAATGTTTTAAAAAAGTTTTATAATGTCGTAAATTCTTTCATATATTATAAAAAAAATAGTTTATACTTTTCTCCTTATTAAAATCATTGGTTTTGGAGAGATTCTACAGTTAAGTTCAAGTAATGTTTGTGATAGCAAAGATATAAAGAAAATAATAATAGAATTAAAGTTATATATACACACTAGCTTTCCGCCCGCAGCTTCGCCGCGTGGAGTTCGGTTATATCGCGTTTCCAAGAGAACCTTTCAAAAGTCTGGGATAAAAACTATCCTACGTTCTTTCTCAAGGTCAACTCTATCTCTGTACCGAATTTCATTCAAATCAGTTCAGTGGTTTAGGCGTGAAAGTGTAGCAGACAGACAGACAGACAGACAGACAGAGTTACTTTCGCATTTATAATATTAGTAGGGATGTTACTGTAGCTGTAAACGTATTTACTAGTTGTAACCGAAAATTTCAAAAATAACTATATTGATTAACATCTAAAGAAAAAATACGAGTAACATTTCCATAATCCACATTAAGCTGTAACAGATTAAAATCATGTTTATAGGTCGTATATATTTATAAAGAGCGTCGTGGTGGCTAGTAGAAGCGACTTTATATGTTACATGGATAAACTCGTTGCCAACAACACGTTGCGAGGGCCAAGCTAACGTAACTGGCAATTCAGGTGAGGAAATTGAATTTGCATTGTTTCAAACTCCGGAACTTGGGCCGGACTTTGTTTCTAGGTGGATTTACGGGATAATTTCAAGAGGCGCTTTAAACATTCCCACGCTGCCATAACATTTAAAGTTTTCTTAACTGCCACCGAACATGATATTACGATGCTAAATATCTAAGGTGGAAGTTAAATTATTTCTGACACTCTCACTTCAGCCACGCTTATAGAACGGAAATTGTGACAAGCTTGTTCACGACGAAATGTCAAAATTATTGAATAATTCAGAACAAGTTTTGAATATTGAATAAATACTAAAAACAATATTTTAATTCCATACATTTCTACTGTTTCTTTAGTTTTGTATTTATGTATTGTAAGTATTACATGAAATATGACTTTCTTTTTGTTCGTTATGCAGAAACTTGGCACGAGTGGGCTCAAACCGGCTAAATCGAATTAGAAATGTTGAATGAATTGTAGAAATAATTTTCTTTACAACTTCCAAATGAGTTTCCTTGGTCTTGAAATAGTACTCCTGGTTTTGCATTATTTTGTAAAACTTTTCTTTACAAGTTGTTAGTTTCCAAGAGTAAACAATGTATTAGATACTAACAACAATTAGGTTTTCCTAATTACCTTATAAGAAAGTTATATACAGAGTGTCTTTCTAAGTAATAAGAAGATGAACGGGTCTGCAGTCATTTATTATCACACTAGATTGCTGTTAAGTATCAAGATATCTGGTTTTCAGTAGTTAAAAGTTCTTCATTATACTTACGAGAGTGTGGTTTGTGACAAGAACGTATAGCGTATTGTTGAAAGTGTCCAACGCAAGTAGACCTCCGTCGTCTGCCTGATACACGAGCTGGTGGGAGCTGACCCACGTGGTCGGTAGACGTTCTCCAGTCAGATCTCCGCGCAGGAACTCGTCCAGCCTCATACGACGCCCCGACCAGTACAACAACTCGTCCACATATCTGGTCATAGTGGTTAAAATATAATAACAGTAAAAAAATTCTATACAAAGTTTGTATAAATAAAATAATCTATATCACCGCAAAGTCTTATATCTCTATATATCAATGAATGGCTATGTATATACAATAAATATGAGAAGCTGTTTCAATTAATGATAATATTTAAGCTCTCTTCAAGATGCGAGCAAGAAAATGTATTGTGATTCAGAAACCTGAAGTGTGCACGATTTTCTTCCAAACTTAAGATATATAAAATATATTGGCATCCTATTTAAGTTAATATAGAAAATAAGGAATCGATTGATTGACATGTGGCAAGAAAAAATGTTTTTTGATTGATTGTGATAAAACATGGAATTAATTTTGTTTTTGTCTGACCGCCGTTTTTATTAGCTTCGTAGGTTTTTATATGGTAGGGAACGCAATTTATTTCCATAAACATTACAATTTATAAGAAGAGCAATATTCATTGAAAATAATGAAAGTATGGAACTATAAAAAATTAGAAAGAGATAAGAAAACGGAATGAAGAAAAATACTTTTCCATTGTTTTAAATTTATTTGAAAAAAAGAGTAGATAATGTATGGTGATTATAATTTTATTTATTTATAACTACATTAAATAACTTAATTAAAATCTGCGATTATTGCTCATCGCTTCATTCTTATTTGGAGTAATCTTTAAATCCAATATATTGTTTACAGAACAAATGTAATTTTTAACTATATATGTACAAGAAAGGTAGATTTTAGTGATAAAGTCTTTAAATATGAATGTTTTATGTAAATTAATTCAAACTCAGCCATCCTAATTCAAGCTATGCACCATGACTCAGTCGTTGGATGACATTTGGTAAGTGATATTTGGTCGTCTGTATACAGTTGTATTTCAGTAGTGTAAAGCTTCGGACACATGTCCACATGTAGCCTTGTAAAGCGGTTTGCACATGCGAGATTGCATGCCATCACACTATCTGCATTTTGCATCCTAACTTTCAATTAAAATTTGCGACAAAAAATTGCGATAGATAGCATTATTTCAATTTTTTTTGTTTATTTTTAAAATTAGAATATGATAAATATATAATTATTATTATTTGTTATAAATTAGAATGTAAATGTAGAAATGTTTGCTTTGTAGCGTGTACCTATATGGCATGGTTGGCGAAATAAAGCAGTCTAATGTGGTGCCATAGTTAACTTAATTTGGAATTTATTACAAAACCAGACCGGATGCTCTGGGAATATAAAGATATGTGAACCAGTACACCGTGCCAACGGAAAGGAGGCGAGGTCAGAAATACAGAAATCATAGTACGTCTTTGTATGCGCAATGCGGTTTCAATGCACTAACAAGTGTACTCTGATGGACAGTGTGGGCGTGTTGTAAAAAGAATTAATTATAACATACTGCAGTAATTTAATAACTTCTGTAAGGAAATAGAGTAGTTTTTGTAAACTGTTTCAAAGTGTTTATGTTTTTAATTTATTACCACAGGTATTCTACGATGTAATGAGACTGTGTGCTTTGTTTATTTACATAATATGTATGTATAAAGTTTTAATAGGTACATTTTCAGTAGGTATTGTAATTTTTCATAATAATTATCAATTAATAATAAGGTTATATTTTATATACAATTTTCAGATCAATTCAAAACTATATACATAAAATAATAGAAAAATGCGTAGTAATATCCAAAAAGTTTAGTTTATTTTAAACTATCTTTAATTCTTTTTATCACTTTTAACAATAAGTCTGTATTTGCAGTAACACTAGTATTCCATTTTGTCGTGCTTTAAGTAAACTTCCGACTTTTAAGGTTCGTTATTACAAGTTTCGAACTTCAACAGTTAAAAGTTTGTTAAACTTTGACGACTATTTGACAAAAATAACTTATTTTATATTCCTGTATCATGTGATATTTTATGATAGCATTTAAACTTATATATTGGCTTATAAGTCAATATATAAGTTTAAATGCTATATATCCTATAGGATATGTTTAATCGAGTATTATTAGTATTGGAGTTTAGAAAATTTAATATTTTTAAAAGTTTGACTAAAATTATACTTAGTTCTTGCACAATTAGAAATATGTAGTACAATAGGAAGTAGAATCTGGTTACTCATTTTCAATAGAAGTAACGTAAGTTGCTTGAAACATTGCGTATGGAATTTGAAATTTATGTGTATTGACAAGTTTGTTTTAATAAAACTAATATTTTTCTGGTTTACTACGCGTTTATAATTACATGAACAATATACTCCCGACGTTTCGGTAACTTTGCAGCTACCGTGATCACGGTCAGACGAGTTGTGATACTTATGAATGAATACTCGCGCAAATCTTAGATCTCATTAAGTTTGTTTTAACACTCACCCCAATAAGTAAATCGCTGTGACAATGCCTGCTATCACAAAACTGATGACCATCAATGAGAATATGATGCTTCTCCAATTGTGTCCATCGCCTGGGTACAGGTCCTGAAATCATTATCATCATTAATTAATACATTCATTAAGTTTTTTATTAGTGCTCTTTAAATAGCAAGAGTTGTTGATTGCAATAAGAAATAGTCTATATCTTATAACGTACGTATAAGATTTTATAAAAACAGTTTAAATTATACTTTTGAATACTTTATTAACATATAACGCTAAAGTCAGTGGTGGCCCAGTGGTTAAAAGGCCCGCCTCTCCTGGCAAGTACCAATGTGATTTTTCCGAGTCATATGTACTTTCTAAGAGTATTAAGACATCACTGATTAATGCATTTCCAAAGAGGGTTGATGTTAGGCAGGCCACCGGTCGTAAAAACAATTAGCCAAAACTATTTACAACATGTAAGGCAGACCCTGGCTAAGGCTGGGAAATTGCCAGGCAGAAGAAGAAGATTAATATATAACGCAATATTTTTAACAAGCCAATTTTTTATCACAACTTCTTTTAATTAATTCCATTAACAAAAAACTTAGTAAATAATTAATTTTAATCAGCATTCATATTGATACGTTAGCAAAACCTAAAAATATTTTTATTTATTCACATAAACGACGCGATTTGTTTGTTTAATGATGACAAAAATACTTAAAAAAATATTCAGAGGACGGGTATAAGTTGATATAAACACTTCACCTGAGAGGCTTCTACCACGAGTACTCATTTAGAAGGGATGAAAAAAACCGAATAATTAAGATGTTTGAAAGCCTATATATTAATATGAAATTATTCCACTGCGGAGATTTCTAAAACGATTTATTATTCAACTTAAGTGTTAACTGAGTACTCTTACTTATGGAGTGTTCTTTTTTTTCTAAACATTGGGAATTAGAGTTTTATTCAACAATTTGAAATTATTTGTGCCTTTCAAAACAAGTTTGTATTTAATGTTAAAAATATTTTTTTGGTAATCTTTTTTGTACACATCTAAGTCAATGAAACGAGAACAAATCTGTAAATTTAAATAATGTTGTATATTTGAATGATCACCTTTTGCCACTCGTACGTGTAATATTTGCTTTTCATATTGAAAGTAACTTACTATGAATAATAATATTAAGCTTCTAAAAAATTCAGAAGAAAAGATGTTTCTATACCCTGGTTATTGTATAAACTTATGTGCTAATAAAGTTGGTAATTACTATAGTCAGTTGAATTCTTACAAACATGTTTAATATTGTCTAAGTGTAAATTACTAGGATTCATAATATTATTTTATTTTACTTCATTTTAAAATAGAAGCAGTGTAAACGTACAATGCGTATATTATCAAATTAGGGAATTATATATCCTATACAGTAATACAATAACAATATTTTTGTATCTTTTCGTGGATTTTGCTTTTAGGATCTTTTTGGATCTTAATAAATACATATAATGATTTTTTTACACTTAACCTCAAAATATTTGTAATCAATATCATTAACAAGACTGAATTAGCAGTAGTATGTAGGGTTAGTATATTATAGCAGTACCATCGAATGATACATTATCGCTTATTATTATTTTACATTCAAGTACTGTTTAGTCTAAGTCCTTGAAAAGTAACTTCAAAATTAAGAGTATATTGAATGACTGCTCCTTCTTTGCATTTTCTTTAACCCATCTAGATGCTTGCCTCTTGTATTTGTGTGTGTGTGTTTGTGTGTATATGTGCGTACCTCTTCCTTCGCAGATTTCGGGTCGGCGACTTGCAGCGTCTCGTCGGGCGGGAGGCGCCAGGAGCCGCCGCCGCCGCCGCCGCCCGAGCGGTCCGTGTGTCCGGTGGCGTGCATGCGCCGCCGCCCGAGCCGGCCGAGCCGCGCGCGCACCCGCCACCGCGCAGCCCTACGCGCCCGCACACCACCTCGCCCGCGACAACGACACGCGCGCCACACACGCCACACACGCCACAGACGCCACACACGCGACACTCGCGACACACCGCAACACGGACACCCCCATCACTGAAACAAATACACACGTCAAATATTTACACTAATCATAATAAGTGTATCGCATACTTGTATGATATATACATAATATGTATCTATATATCACTGTTTAAATGTAGTAATAACACGTATGTGTTATTACTACACATTTGTATGTTTTTGTTTTTTTTCCTACAGGTTACTCATATTTGACGCGATCGACTTTGGTAAGTTATAAAATATACGATAACTACCCACAGTGACAACATTTTTAATTCGTTTAACAAAATTATTCCTAAAGGTAATTTGACATAATATCAGTAAATAAAACAAAGTGTTGAAATATAAAATCTCAATCCGAATGAAGAAGCATTTTAAAATCATATCTTACGGGATGTTGCATAACTGTGAGCAATTTTTCATCTTCAAATATATTTATTTGTTAAGAAATAGACGACGAATTCTTTTATTTTTATGTGTTTTAAGTTTTTTATACTTTTAGGTATTCAAAATAAATGAGGAACATTGTTATTTATTTCACTTATTACAATAGTAAAAAATTGAGAGATAGTTTTCCACCATATATTATTCATATCATAATAATTAATCATGACTTATAATTAAAAACAACACTGGCAGTAAAAATATATTGTTTTATTTTTAAGTGCTTATATTTTTCCTGCTGCCGATTAATTGTTAAGACTCGTTCTAGATATTACGAGTCCGGTATGCAGAAGCATATTTGTATGGCCGCACTTATACGCACGACTATATTTAATATTATCGTATAGTTGCATAGTATTAAGAAAAGAAAAGAAAATAAAGCCTTAACAGTCTAAAACTAAGTTTAAACCTAGATTTAAAAGTATTCAATTAGAGTTCTAATCTACATATCATAATCCTCACGAAGTATTCAACGTTTCCTAATACTATGATCGAGAATGTATGGTTAGAATTTATATATGCAGCTTAAAATAAAAAATCTATATTTGTTTAAGCACTTGATTCAAATAATTAATAGTTGTATATTATTTCTGTTCTTGTATCAAGTAAGCTATAGCCAGTATAATTGCCACTATTTACTTTAGTATAGATCAAGAGCGGTATTGGAATAAAGCCAGTGATCCACTACTCTCAGTTCTAAGAAGGGGAAGGAATTTGTATTATTATTTCATCTAGTATTTACTTAATAGAAGTGATATGAAATGTGAGAGAAAATGAAAATGTATATAGTAAAATGCATTACAGCTTGCTCACTATGCCCGTAGGCTGAATGGCGACAAAGAATTGTGCGAATTTGGCAAGAATAGCCCTGACAGATTCGTTTTTTTATCCTCACAAATCTGTGTTAATTGCACCTAGCGGGCTGATAGTATCCTGAGGAAGCATTAACGGTTCTCTCTAGACCAAAAACTGTCGGCGATGCTCTAATATTTCACAGAGATTTTCATCTGAGGCTGGGCGTTAAAAAATTAACGAGTTAAATATTTAAATTAAAATGCTCGGTGAAAATTGAAATCACCTGGTGTAATTTGACTTGCAGATAAAGATTTTAATTTGCGTTGTAAAATTTCAAGTAGTTAAAAACTGTGCTTCCAATGATCGTTAAATATATAAACCAATAAAATCTGGATTATAATTAAGAAACTCGACTACCGTTCCAATTTATACGATAACTCGATTCATCAATATGTAAGGTAATGGCTCTCGCGGTTACAATAATCTTATGCCGGATCCATATCGTCGTATTTCAATTTTTATGGCCTGCCGGAGCTCAAACCTTACAGAAGTTTTGAACGGACAAAGCTGCAATGCAGATGTTAGGCCTCAGATGTAATAAATTATAACTAATACAGCCACTGAACGTGTCCAGAAAACAAAAAGTTCGTTAGCGTATTTAGCGAACATTCTTATTCATGAAATAAATAAAAAACTGCTTCTTTTAAAATCTTGCTATTCAATAAAAAAAGGAAAATAAGGGTATAAATACGTTTATTTTATTTATTTTTTATTGCATCGAAGTAAAATATAACAAAAAACGATAGATGAATCTAAAAAACTAAACGCTGGCGTATGGCCAAGGCTTAATTAATTGTTTTCAACATTGGCTTGCTAGTGTGCTCACTGGTTTTATTGAACGTAAATGAGGGTGTTTATGACGTTATAAAGCAATGAAAAAACATTCATTCTGTAATGAAAACAACTAATTTTATTTGTTACATGATACGTGATGGTGAAACTACAAAGGATAGTCAATCGTCACTTAAATAATTACGAAAATAGATCAATAACGTCATTAATCATAAAAGCTTTTCTTATATTATGTTTTAATATGTCAAAAGTTAATAATATAATTTTTTGTATGAGTTTTTTAAAATTATATGTACTGAATTGAACATACATTTTCCAAACTGAACAATGCATGTGGCTGTCAAATTATGAGTGTCAATTACATACGAGTATATAATTAGATTAATAACTGTCAAACAAAAACATTTACGTATTTTTATTCCTTTCAAATATTTTGCCACAGCTTTATTCAATCGTTTATATATTAGTATCTAATTATTACGTTTTGTGTTTCCGCAAAACATCAATTCATGCAGTATGGTCTTTGTAAAAAAGATATGAGTAATTAAACCTCTCTTATTTCTACACATATTATACCTATGTTATTACTTCAATGAAACGTTTAAGTATAAATTTCTCAAACAATCAGTGCGCAATTACCAATAACCTACTAAAATACATATTTGTTATTTTTTTATTTATTTTATCTTTAAAGTATAAACAATAGAATAAAAAAATAATATACAGTCTTTCTTTATGTCATAAATTGAACAAAAACCGATTCTTTTCATACTCTTGAAAATATCTGATCACCTTGAGAAATGGTTGTCTTTTGTTTAAAAATATCTACCATCATTGTAAGGAGTTTATTGTCCGAAGACAGCTTTGTTTCGACGGAGTCTTCTCTTGAGCTGTCTTATCTCCCCAATGTGCCTCCTTCAAACTAAAACTCTTGACTTCTGAATAGTGTTTTATTTACTGCTGGTAAAAGTCTGAGGGTCAATTCACTTGGGTTTTTTGATTCAGCTTGAGTCATTACATTTTTATGTTGCTTATTAAATTTTATGTTATAAATAAGAAAATAAAGGTCTATAAAAGTCTACAAAGAAATCTACTACTTCATTTATAGAAAAGTTGCGGTTTTAAAAATTAAAAATGTTTTATTAATTGTTTTTATTGATTAAGGACTAATAGGTATATGTATTGTTTTTCTGATGACGAAAAGATATCCGAAAAGTTAAAAAATATATATATTTTTTATCGTAATAGATACCTAAGTCATAATATAAAATCAATATATATATACGTGGTATTCCATTCTAAGTAATATTAAAACGGGATTTTTCTAACTTAAAGTAAGAGTAAGCGACAGATCTTGGAAGTCGACTTTGCAAGTTCCTCTTTATGCTCTATCAAGAGAAATGTCTTCATGATTTACAGTTTTACACAGCTGCGTCTCGAATCTAGATTTTTTCGGATCGAATTTTTTGTGTCGCCTTTCTTATGTCCATTCTGAATATTCTCTTCACGAACTATATATGGATACATATGGATATTTTTCTTATTATTTTCATGGAAATTTTATAGGATTGGGTAAGAAATATATCCACCAACACATTTTTATCTCTTGCATGTTGCATTTCACTCAAAGAATTGGAGTAGGTGAAGTGAATTACGTTGGTTAGAGTAGCTACGGTGATAGGTAGAACAATAGTTGAAGTATGGCTTAAACTGACTGTAGCATTTATATTCTCACACATGGAAGTGTTCGCCGTTAATTGAGTATTCTGACCAGTAAATAAATATTGTGCCCAACTGAGTAACATGAATAAATAAATATTCTATTATCTGGTTGATTTATTTATTATATGTACCGAATAATGATACAAAATGTATAATTCATCATCATTGTATTAATATTTTTGATTATCATTATTGAATTATTAAGTAAAAATTAAAAATGTTATTTAAATGTCAAACAATTTTCTCGGAAAAAATATTGTTTACATAATTTGCGGTTTATAAATTCAATTTATGAATTAGAATTTGTATGACATTTGGTATACAGATAAATACGTACAGGATCCCGTGACAAAATTCTCGTAAAAACCTACATAATAAAAAAAAACATAAGTTACGGTAATTACAATATAAATCAGTACCTATCTAGTCAGTTAAGGAGAATTTTCATCGCTTTTAGTTTGTCAAGCACTATCTAACCAAAATATAATATATAATATTTTCTTTACGTTTATATAAAAATATGTGGTTCGTTAGTAGACGACAGTTAAAATATTCAAAAGACCAAATGATACATTCAGTGTAATCACACTACACAGTACACATGTTCTCATCAGTCATCAAGCGTCGTTTGTGAACTGCAACATTTGACGTGTACCGTCATGACGTTTTCAAATTGAAGTGATTTAATAGAGCTTTGAGATTTATGACTTGTATCAAAAAGTGGTGTAACCCGCCTTTAAAAAATATTGAAATATTCACGGAAAGCTACAAGTAATAGTCATATCCTACTCAGTTAAATTGAGACTGATTGCGATAAGAAAAAATAAAATTCTTGTTAAACAAATATATTTTGAAATAGTATAGATTTATAGATTAATACTGTGCAACAGTTAGGGAGTAAAGAACTGCTTTCTTTTCGTGCTATTTTCATCTACTTGTAAGGTCGTGAATTAAAATACCTTTTTTATTTCTTTAACATAATACTCGATTATATAACTCTAAAAAGAAATTAGCTAAATGGTATTGAAGACAAAGTAACATAATTAAGA